CATCCTGTGTTGCCTACTTGGGAAACATGCCTCAAAGCACAGGGAAAGGAAGCACCGTGTGGGGTGGTCTCCCCTGAACTGTGGCGTCAAGGGGTCCCATCTTGCCACAGGCTGCGTGGCCTAGGGCACGGTCCCAACCTTCTGGGCCTCACAATGGCAATGTCAGCACAGCCCTCATGGGGGCGCTGAAGGATAACTGAAGTCTCAGTTGGGCTTGTAGCACAGGCAACCCCAGCCCAGAACAAAGGTTAGCTGGCGGTGTTACTGTTTCTGTAACCAAGGGCTCTCTGTCTGGGTTCCTTAGAGCGTGAGAGTGCTAAACGGGTACCTCGGGGTTTGCCCAAAGGAACGGAGGGTTGGCTGAAAGCAAAACGGCAGCCTGGTCTGACCAGCTCTGTCCAGTCTTAGCTCCTGGGCCAGACTGGAGACTATAGTTTGCTGAACCCTGAACTGGACCCTCCTTTAGCACCTGGCCCAGGGCTGTGCCACAGGAGGCTCTCAGGGGATGGGTGTTTATACTGGGGCTCTGAGCAAGATTCAGCCTGGAAAACAGGTTTCCTTGATTTATGGAGACAAAAAAGAAAATAAGTGATGAATCTGTAAACTATGCCCACCCTGAAATGCCTTTGCCAGGGCATCTGTCCTGCACCCCACCCCAAGGACATTTTCCCGCACCAAGTGGATTCTGGGGGTGTCTCCATCACATTCAGGCTGTGGCTCCTGACGGAGGGACCAGGCAGCACACATGTCACTGAGGGCTTCACCCGAAACAGATGCTAACGAAACGCTCGGAGAGAGAGTGGGTGCCTGGCCTGCAGGGCAGGTACCACACAGCAGGCAGCCCTGTGCGAGAGGCGAGAACTGGGCTCCTACCTATCTGGTGACACATATGAAGGGGAAAAAAGAAAGAAAGAAAAAAATTGTTATAAAAATGTGAACTCGCTGGAACGTTAGGAAATTCTGCACAAAGACCTGGGTTTCTGGCTCAGTGGGCTCTCACCGACTGAAGCTGCTGAAGTGAGGGAGGGCCCTCTTCAGAGAGGACACGTGCCGTCCAGGTGGCTGCAGTTCTCACCATCACTCAGGTCAGCACCTGGTCCTCGTCTCATTGCTGTTACCTGTCTGATTTCTGTGCTGAGTTTGCATGTCATCGACAGAAAAATGTCTACTCCTCTCCTTCCCTGTGAATCAATATACTAAAGCTACTATTCACAGGACTTGAAAAGATGTTAGCAAGCATCAAGAGAATTTAAACATGCCTCTTAAAGATTCTGGTAGAAACATAGTTTGTAACTTTAAATGTTACCGCTTTTTTTTTTCACAGATAGTAAATATGGATTGAAATAGTTCTTTTTACTTAACGTGAAGAAAAGATAAATGTGGGAGAGATTTAAACAAATGTACACGCAAAGTCTTTAAAATAAGTCACACCTAAGATGAAAATAATAGTGTTTTCACTTCAAAATTAAATGCTGAGCTGGAGGAGGTAGATGGGGAAAGGATGGGATGGACGGAAGAAAATGAAGTCCTTTTGGGGGACTTGAGGGTTTTTCCCTCAAGTTCCTCACACCCTCTCCTGACAAATGGGCACAGACTTCTCCGTGTGAACCAGGGGTTGGCAATGACGCTTGCAGACCAAACCGGCCCACTGCCCGTTTCTGTGAAGTTTCACCGGAACGCCGCGGCATCTGCTCAGCTACGTACCGTCTTCTTACTGCCGGCCAGCCGAGCAGCTGCGGCCCAGACCTGCGGCCCACGCCCTGAAAGGTGCCGGTCCGCACCTGGCAGAAGGAGCCTGCGGACCTCTGGCTCACACAGGCACCGCCCACTCTCAAACCCGAAGTGCCTGGGATTCCACAGCAAGACCACTGTCACCCCGGGAAGAAGTGAACCCCCACTGAGACGAAGGGGTGAGGGAGAGGCTCAGGGGTGCAGTGCTGGGGGGGGGAGCCGAGTTCTTGGATGCCATTTCTAATGCCAGTTCATTGGGGACCATAGTCTCCTCATGCTCTTTATTAAAAACAAAACAAAACTTTTTCTTTATTGATTTTAGAGAGAAAGGGAGAGGGAGAGAGAGACAGAAACATCAATGAGAGAGACCATCGACTAGCCGCCTCCTGCATGCCCCCCAATGGGGATCGGGCCCACAGCCTGGGCATGTGCCCTGACCGGGAATCGAACCGGCGACCCTTGGTGCACGGGTCAGTGCTCAGTCTCTGAGCCACACTGGACGGGCTCCTCATGCTCTTTAGTGTCCAGGATGACTCCACAGAAAGACCTGCTGGGGCCTCCTTGCAGCTGCCATGTTGATGCCTTCGGACTGACTCCTCCCCTCCTGGTCACAGAGAGCCAGGTCACTGCGTTTACACCTCCTTCTGCACTAACGGCTATTATCCCCCCCACTCAACGGAGGACACTGAGCGAAGGCTGGCCTGAGACCCTGGCAGAGCCTTCTGGGGTGATCTGACTCCAAGAGCAAATCTGCAGGTTCGCAGACACTCCCACGTCTGATGGTCGAAGCTGGAGACCACACGCCCACACCTGGAGTTGGGGATCCCCAGGGTTTACCACCTGCTTCTTCTCCACTTCCTCTGGAATCTGGAATTGGACTCCAACTCAAGGACGCAGGCCCCTCACCTGGACCATGCCCCAGCACCCCCGCTGCACTCTCAAGGTGACAGTCCCAACCTAAGCTCTCGACAGACACCGTCTCAGGAGCGAGGGCACAGCAGTGCTGAGCAGGCCCCGCCCGGGAACATCGCTGTGCCGGAGTCCTCAGTCCAGAGGCTGAGCCGCTCAAGCTCGAAAACCAGTTCCAGGTCCACCCCCTGTCTTCGGAGAGCCGCCTGGCCCAGCCACCATGCCATCGCCTCCTGACTGGGCCTCCGGTGTCCACTCTGGCCTCCCCTGTTAAGCCCCACAGAGGCCTGAGGGATCTTCCAACAAGCTGGTCAGAGGAGCGAGCCTCCTGCCGAAACCCAACACTGGTTTCCCCTCGGTCGGAACTGAATCCTCAGCTCGGCTGACAAGCCCCTTGCGGCCCGAGCTCTGGCCATCTCTGAACTCGTCCCACACCCTCCTCCTGACTCCTGGGCCACGGCTGGCCTTCTCAGGGCCCTGGACTGCTCCAAGTCAGCTCCCGCACGGGGGGCTCTGGACCAGCTGTTCCTAGCATGTTCCCTCATGGACCTCTGCATGGTAGCTCCCTCTCATCACTGGGGTCTCTGCTCCAATATCATCCCTTCACCATCCCAGACGACACTGTCATTGGGCCCAACCCTAGCGCTTACCATTCTGCAAAGTTCTGCATCTGTTTACCGGAACATTCTCAAGCTCCCCCACTAGGACATAAACCCAGAAGCAGAAGCTGGTTCTGATCTGTGTTCTACTCCCAATGCCTGGTTCAGCGCCTGGAACCCCCTGGGTACTCCATAAATATTTCTTTAATATCTTCGAATCTAAGAAGTTAAACTTTTCACAGCAACTCCTAGAGGGAATGTCACTGGCTTCAGACAGCTTCCCACGGCCTGGGAAATACCTCCCTCAATTCCGCAGAAGGTGACTCCGCCCACTCCCAAACCCAGGACACCCTGCGCGACACCCCCAGGAGGCCCACACTCCCAGAAATGCGGCCATCCCAGCCTTCAGGAGCACGGAATTCTAAACATGAAAATTTATTCTAAGTTGTATCTTAACATACGAGATCTCAGCTTTAGATGAATTTTAATGTTTACAAGTGCAAAAGCAAATAAATATTTACCAGTTGCTTTTTTTTTTTGCACTCTTATAACTCCAAAACAGCTTAGACGCAAAAAAAATTGTTGTTAAACATCTTGGAGTCTGGCAAAAGGAAGAATTTCTTATTAAGAAAACCCCTCTCAACAGTAACAACCCCTGATGCTCAAGGCTCCCTTTCAGAAGCCATCAAGATGGCCCGTCGACATCTGAAGGTGCGACGGACAAGACTGCCACGCTCAGGGTGCTGGGGTCACACCCGCACGGTGGAGGTCACGGCCTGGCCGCGCCGTCTGTAATCTGGGGCTCTGGGTGAAGAGCCCTATTTCTTGGGATGGGACCGTGGGCGCGACCACGTGAGAGCCCCTCAGCCTTCAGGTTCCGCTACATGTCACGCCCCGGAGGCCCTGCCCACACCTCTCTCGGGCAGCACCGGTCTACTTCCCCATGACCACGCCACAGGCTCCAGCTTGAGTCAGCTCCGTTCTGGCTCGCCTGCTGCTCTCTCGCTTGCTCCCTAACATCCTGCTTCCCGACTTCCCGGCGGGCGCTCTCGCTACCCGCCAGCACCCCCGTCTCCTCCTTTAGACCCTGAGCCTCAAGAGGCTGGGCCAGGCTCACCTGGCAGCAGCAACCCAGTGCCTGGCACCAAGCATGCGGTCCCTAAATACAGGTGTTGATTGAGGAATTAAATCTCAATACATTTATTTCCTTTCTTTTTTCTTATCCTCACCCGAGGACATTTTTCCATTTTTTGTTCAGGTAGAGTGGGAGAGAGAGGAACAGAGAGAGAGAGAAACATCGATGTGAAAGGGACACATTGAGTGGCTGCCACCCGCACGACCGACCAGGACCGGGGACAAACTGCAACCGAGGTACGTGCCCTTAGCGGGAACCGAACCCGGGTCTCTCCGGACCGCAGGCCGACACTCTAACCGCTGAGCCAAACCGGCCAGGGCTCAATACATTTAATATCAGTGTCTTCTTTATTCACTTACTTTTTTGCATGGTTGAAGCCCTTGCAGTCACTTTGAGGAAAATAGATTTTACCAGGTACAAATATCAGGGCAAGACTTAGCCCAGCCACAGGAAGAAAGTGGGTCACTCTTACTGGAATGGGATACAGACACACGCCCATCCCTGTGTCGGGACACACACCCCAGGAGCACCACAGCACCTCCTGGGTCCTCACACCCGAACCCAGCTACTGTTCAAAGGGCAAGACTGCTCCCAGCAGCAGAGCCTCGCCGAGACGAGTCACTTACCTGGGTTAACAGTGATGAATCTGCTGTCCTCGGACAGGCGGTCCCCTCGGGGCGCAGGCTTTCTCGATGGCATTCCGGGACTCTCGTGATCGTTCCCTTCATAACGCTCCTCTGTGACTGTGGGGGGCACTTGGGTGGAGGTGGCGGACTCGGAGACCAGGTCAGCAGCCCTCGTGTCATCGGGCTGGCCGCTGGGGACGGCAGTGTGGTCTTGCTGGGGCCCAGGCAGAGTCTGATGCCCCCCGTCCTGGGCGGCTCTACTGGGAGAGGAGGGCGCAGGGGTGGGCTCGGCCTGGCTCCGCCCCCGGGCGGCATGGGTCACCCCGCTCTTCTCCTTCTTCTCGGAGTCCTTCTCTCCCTCGTCCTCCCGCTCCCCGTCCTCACTCTCCCTCTTCTCGTCCTTTTCTCCGTCCTCGGTGCCCTCGCCGTCCTTGCTGGGGGCTGCGTCGCCATCCGGGCCTGGAGAAGCCACGGCCTCCGTGGTGGCCAGGACTGGCCTGACGGCGTGCTTGCTGGCCGCTGCGGCGGGGAGGCGCGTGGGCCACACGGTGCTGGGGAAGGAGGAGATGCCGCCGCCGCCGAAGCCCAGGCCGGCCAGCAGCGTGCTGGTCACCACCGAGGCCACGGTCGCCTGGCTGCCACTGGAGGATGGGCCCATCCCAGTCGCCATGGACACGAATGAGAAGGGGATGCCGGAGGAGGTCCAGGTCGAAGAGCCCGAGCTGATGGGGGCCATGTCGGCCGAAGAGGCGGGAGACGCTGTGGGCTTGGAAGGGTCACCAGGTGGTTGGGGGAAGGGACAGGAAAGAAAGCACACAAGTGTCAGTCATCAGATTTCAAGGAGGTCCTGTTATGACCCATAAGGGGCTTTACTGGCTTCCTGGTTTACTCATGGGGTTCCCCGAGCATGGCGCCAAGCTGCCATTTGGCGATCATGGGTGCTACCTCTGATTCACGGTTCACAGTCACTCTGAACTAATACACCAAGCTCAGCGTCCCGCGGATACTGCTCAGGAGGAGCTAAGTGCAAGGAAGTAAGTGACACTGAACTTGGCGAAAGGCAAATATCAAATGAGTAGTGAATTGGCAACATCAGACGGTCAGCTGTTCTTGGGTGACACTGGACGCGGCGGGAGGCCTGCTTTCTAGACATCGCCGGTGCCTGCGGACAGCACACAGCTTAGGGCCAGAGGCCTCAGGGTCTGGCTCCACCATCTGACAGGGAGGAAGCGGATGGACCAAGTGTCACAGCCACACCTGGGCGGCAGGGTCACCTGCAGGCTCGGGGACCTGCGCACCCCACATCCCACACTGTACGGCTGCTGACCTTTCACAGTCTCCGGGTTAAACCTCTGCCCACAGACATGACAACAATCACTGTTCACTGAACAACTGCCAGCGACATGCTGGGGCTTCCCACGCTGCCTGGATGCTCATCACCCAGTTTTACAGATGAGGAAACTGAGGCACAGAGCTGTCCAGGAGCTGAGGCAGGGCAGCCTGGGTCCAGACCTCAGCTCACCCTGCCCACTGTCCTAAGCGGGGCTCAGCTGTGGGACTGTGCTGGACACGACGTCTCAGGGGAGCAGCCTGTGTCGCTCTGAGCTCGGAGCTTGACTTTAGTTCCTAGAGCCTGGGGTATGGAGTCTGGAAACCCGTCCGATCCCTCACACAGCTCAAAACAACACAGCCAGAAGGCCGCAGATTTCATAATTCTGTCCCAAAGTTTTAGTTTGAAAACTTCATAGTGTAAAGACGACCAAGTTAGCAAATATGGAGAGCTGAATCGGTCTGTGAAACGTCAGATGCCACCTGAGATGAGGCAGCCATCAGTGAAGTCAGGCAGCCCCGGCCGAGCGGACGACCCTCGTTTGCTCTCTGGGTGATGCTGGCACATCCCCATGACGCACTGAGCCTCAGTGTCCTCAACCTTAAAACAGGAATGATAGTAACACCACCAATCTTGCGGGATGCTAGGCGAGGAGTAAATAAAACAATCTGTGCTTGAAACCCAGGAAACGCTTAGTAAATTTTAGGCTATTATTGTTATTACCAACGGTGTGATCAATATTATGATTATTAGTTGCACCAGAAATGAGAAAACTTAAGATATTGATTGAGGCACCAGACATTTGAAAATCCACATAACTTTGGGCAAAAGACAACCTCTGAATTTTAGCATATGTCCAACGAAGGGCCTGGGGCTGACCAATTCTACATCCTATGACCCTACAGATGATAAATAATGGAGACGTTTTTACCTTGACAAAAATTATACTGTATAACACTACTGCTCTGTCTCTGTTGCACAGCTTATTTTCATAATGTATTGAATTATAAACAGTGAATAATGTAAATTTTTCTGTATTTTAACCTCTTCACATTAAGCAGTTTAACAACATCATACTGCCACCTCGTGGTGACAGTTTTAACTGCATGCACATTTGCAGTTACCAACCAGGACATACCAATTACCACTCTCTACTTACCACTCCTGTTTTAACAATTCTGGTCCCTTGGAATATTCGAGTGGTATTAGCTGAAAAACAAAGAAATTACATTGTAAACTACGATTTTTGTTGTTGTTCCAACAAAACTCTACTTAGACATAAATGTGACTTACATAGAATTTTCATGTTATGGAATATTATTTTTTTTGAGATTTCCCCCCAACCACTTAAGAATGTCAAACCCTTCTTAAATTGTGAGTCATTAAAAAATATGCAGAGATGCCCTGGCTGGTTTGGCTCAGCGGTTAGAGCGTCAGTCCGCGGGCCAGAGAGTCCTGGGTTCAGTTCCCGCTAAGGGCACGTACTTCAGTTGCGGTTTGTCCCCAGCCCCTTTTGCCACCGACTTTGTGGGTGGCAACCAGTCGATGTGTCTCTCTCACATCCATGTCTCTTTCTTCCTCCCTCTCTGCCTCCCGCTCTGTCTGAGGATAAATGCAAAACAAACAAACAAACAAAAAATATGCAGAGGGCTAGATTTGGCCTGTGGGTCACAATTTGCTGAATCTTGTCCGAACCTGTTAGTTTAAAAATTTTAAATTATTACTGATTTCTGATTTATTGAGGTAAAATTTACATAGGATTAAATATACAGATCTGAAATGTATAGTCCAGTTAACTCTGTAGACACCTGTGCACCTACCACCCACAGTGAGACACAGACGTCTCCCACACTCCAGCACCTGACCCATCATCAGTCCCCACCCCCTTCCCAAAGGAACCACCGTTCCGACCTCTGCTGGAGTTCTAGTTCTGAACTTCATGTACAGGGATCATATTATGTCACTGTTCCCCTCTATTCGCTTTGGGTTTATAATTTCTTATATTATCCTTTCAGTGATCGTAATATATATCCTAAATTTATTATAGCTTACCTTAAATGAGCACTTTTAACACTTCCTAAGAATGCAAGAACTATATAATTATTTAACTCTATTTGCCCACCTCATCTTCTATATATTGTCATGTATTTTACTTCTACTTAAGTTTGAAAACTCATCGTTGCTTTAAAATGGTAAAATTATTTTATACTAACTACAGCATTATTCTCCCTGGTGTTCATTCCTTCCCACTGTTCTGTTGGCCCATGTGCGATTATTACTAAACAGTATAACATTCTAGTTTTAACATAACACAAAACTTACCATCTTAACCACCCCTGTGTGTACAGTTCAGTGTTATGTTCACACTGCTGTGCAATGGAGCTCCAGAACTTCTCATCTCGCAAACAGGGACAGAGGTCCCCCTTAAACAATCCTCATCCCCCTCCCCCAGCCCCTGGGAACCCCCATTCTACTCTCTTTCCCTAAGTTGGACTACTCTAGTACCTCATGTAAGTGGAATCACACGTTTTTCTTTTTGCAACAGGCTACTTTGCTGTCCTCATGCTGCCTCCATGTGTCAGAATCTCCTCCCTTTTCAAGGCTGAATAATATTCTGCTGCATGTGTACCACACTTTATTTGCCCACTCATTATTGATGGATGTTTGGGCTGCTTCCACCTTTTCGCTACTGTGAATCATGCTAAACAGTATAACTTTCTTAAAAAAGAACATAATCAAATTGTGTCTTTGTCATTATCTCAAAAACCAGTAGTGTTATCTATATAAACTAAAAGTCTGCTTCCTATATGTACATGGCACTGAAAATATCAAAAACACTAAATACCACAATAAATACTGTGCCTGCTATTATTTTTATCTAAACCAGAAGTGGCAGGCGACCAACATGACTTGTTTGGCCTGCGAGCTATGAAAAAATGAAGCTGCTGCCACTGTGCACGTTGCTTAGTAAACACTAGGGATGGCAGCTTTCACCTAAAAAAAATCCCAATTCCTGCTTATCCTGAAAAATCATAGCAATTGTCAAAACTGAGCTCACCTTCCTGCAGGGCAACATTTGGCTGCAGCTACGTGTCCATCACCCGCCTGCAGTGGGCTCAGGGCCCCCCATGTCTCACCGACAGCCCTCCCCTCCTCTGTACATGTTCCCTGCCTGGCCCCAGGGCACCCGAGTTTGCAATCCCTGGCCTCACCAGTATTCAGTCTGCACAGCTGTAAAGTGCCAGGAGACACATGCGGGACAGACAGACTGAGAAGTCAATACACCAGGTCACATGAGGCAGCCTGGGAAGCCAAGGGCGCGGCACGGACTGCCGCAGACGGTCTGTGCACCTCCCTTGCTTTTCTTATCCTCATTCAAGCGCATTTTTGCATTTATCTTCAGATAGAGTGGGAGGGAGAGAGGGAGGAAGAGAGAGAGAAATATCAATGCGAGAGAGACACATCGAGTGGTTGTCACCTGCATGACCCATTAACCAGGGCTGGGGACAAACCGCAACCAAGGTACGTGCCCCTAGCGGGAACTGAACCCAGGACTCTCTGGTCCGCAGGCCAACGTTCTAACCACTGAGTCAAACTGGCCAGGGCCTCCCTTTGTTAAGACAGGAACAAGAGTTCCCAGGAGACCTGCTCCACTGCCCTTTCCAGAGGCTCTGAGTAAGGCCAGCACCTCGATGGCCACTCCGGCAGCAGGCCTGCTTCTCACTCGTCCGGAACAACTTCCAGCGGGGACGGTGCTGGCTGGGGCGACAAGGACGTTCCGGCAGGGCCTTCCTGGCCAGGAGCGCTTAACCCGGGTCACGGGCCTCAGGAGCTCAGGGGCAGGGGGCAGTGACACTGACTGTCCCTAAGCTCGCACTGAGATGCAGCCTCACGCCCACGGCGAGCACGCGGCAGGCCTCAGCTGCGCGCACCACCTGGGGCTGGGTCTCCGGCTGAAACTGGAGCCTCTCTCACTGCCTCACACTCAGCTCTTTGGGAGCCACCTCTGCGCTTCACCACTCGAAAATCACAGCAGCCAACAGACACGCCACTTGTCATTTAATTCTTTCACGAGGAAGCGCGCAGATTACTACGTTCCCAATTTGTTTGTTTAAAATATTTTGACAACTGTATTTGAACATAATTGGTTTCCTTTACTATGTATTTTACTTTTGTATGTTAAGTCATTTTAAAAGAGGCTCCGTCAGCTTCGCCACAAGGCTGCCTAACAGGTCTGTGGCTCAAAGCAAAGCTCAAGGACCCCATGTCCCCAAGCCGCTGAGAGTTACAAAAAGGCTTTGCACACTGGCTAAACCAGTCATGTGATCTGTTCGTTGGCGCACGTGGCTAAAATGCACTCTTGGCGGGTGGTCCATTGCTGTGCAGAAATGACTGGACTCTGGGATAAGCCACCCAGACCTGGCTCAGCAGCCAAGTGGCGTTGCAGGTTCCTCACCTGCCTCCTCACCCGCCTGGAGCCCCGCTGCCCTGCACGCAAGCTGCCTGAGGTCAGGTGAAGAGCGCACACGCTCCGGACCTGACTCCTTCCACCACCACGGCTTGCTACTATCACAAGGGAAAGATGACATTTTTACATAGAACGTAAATGGTGGTACATTTACTACGATAAGGTAAATCTTCCATATGGCTTCCTCATGCTCTCAAACCAGAGGTCAAGTTTATCACTAGGAAGCCTAACTTCCAAACAAGGCCTCCGTACATTCCGTCCGCTTTTTCCTTTCCCTGTTGAAATGCAAGTCCTCAGAGGCCGGCCCTGTGCACTGGCCTCCACTGCTCCCGGCCCCTACTCGGCTCACCAGACAAGGTAAGCCAGCTTCCCTCCGCCAAGATTTCGTTTCGCACCGGCCCCTGGATGCTGCAGGGCAGATGCTAAAGCCATTGCGGGGAGGCGTGGGGTCCACGCCCTTTGCCAACAAATGGGGACAAGCTCCGTACACGACGTGACCAAACTCACGTCCGCCCCTGAACAGAGGAGGTCTTCGGACAAACGAGACACCAGGCATTTCCAACAAGTCACTGTGCGCAGACATTTCAAATATTTCATGCTTAGAATTTATAGCTGACAAGGCCTTTTTGAATTATATTACATTACAAACATTTAATTTTTTAAAGTCTATGCAGAAGCCAGGAAGCTCAGGGGGCCTATTAGTCAGCAAAGGCAGTTCTGCGATTCCAGGCTCCTGGTCGGAACACACGGGAGACCTGACTATGATTTATGCAGCCTCGGTTCCAGGGCCCCAGCCTCAGCAAGCACCCACTCTGGCCTCCTGTTCTCCCCCCTTGGCTGGCACAAACCTGACCTCGGCCCACAGTCCCTCCTCAACACAGGCAGAGGGGCCCATACGTTCAGAGCACAGGTGGACACAGCGAGCATGATTTATTTGTGAAAAAAGTGCAGCATGCTCATTCCAATTAGTTTAAATGGAAGGATGAGATAATGTGAACATTAGCAAAGAACATGAAACACGAAATGCAGAAGGGAGGGATCCCTGGAGAGAAGGCAGGCTGGAGGGCTCCTCACCCTGGGTTCATCATTTATTACTTTTTAAATCAAACCTAATAGTAAGGGGATATTTATCGTGGTACCAGACACTATGCGAAGTACTTAGCATACATCACCCCATGTCGTTCTATAAGGGTACCATGAAGTTGGTATTGTTAACACGACCGCTTAGAAACTGAAGCTTAGAAAAGTTCATAAAAATTCTCAGAATTGCAGAAATACTAAGAGCAGCCAGGACTCAAACTGGGGCCCTCATTCCAGGGCCCCAGCTCTCCAGCAGGACTCCTCTCCCCTCAGTGCGTGCCAGTCCCCCGGGCCGTCTGGTCGAGAGGGGATTCTGGGCCCGCCCTCAGAGATGCTGAGGCCACGGATCCGGGAGGGCCCGGTGCTTCCCACAGGCTTCAGACGCTGCTGCTGGTCCCACGCGCGTTACAGGGTCCCGAGGCAGCAGGCTCAGTTCTGGCATTTTCTAGGGAAAAGCCTTCATCAGGTACATGGCTCACAAAGGTGAGGAACCACTGGCCTGGGAGGTAGGTTTCCCTGACACCAGGGACCCAAGGAAAGAACCTCACCAGGAAGGACCTCTGCCCGGCACAGCGAAGCCGATGCCCTGGCCCCTGCCTGCTGTCTCAGCACAGCACGCAGTCCGCCACCAAAACGGGTGGTCCAGTTTTGTAAATAAAGTTTTATTGGAACCAGGACTGGAATTGGGTTAGGGCAGCAATTTTCAACCCTTTTCCTCTCATGGCACACATAAACTAATTACTGAAATTCTGCTGCACACCAAAAAATAGATTATGTATGTGACAAAAAAAAAAATAGGTCTAAGTTTGATCATGCACATTGGACGGCTATTGTTGTGTTGGCCGCTGTCATTTTCTTGTCTGACAACCTAAGGGAAACGAGGTCAGCGGCCCTCACGAGTAGTCAGGTATGGCACGCTTTAAAAGTTCGTGGCACACGGGTCGAAAATCACTGGGTTGGGGCAAGTAAGACAGTGGATCCTGCCTTTATTTAAAATTCCGGTATGTTGTTCATGAACTTTTTTTGAATTGATTTTGCTTTTAAACAATATTCCATTAAAATATCATGTCTTGATTACTGAGTTTTTTGCACCCCTGAAACGCTGCACCTGCGTGAATGCCTCTCTGGCTTCACCCTAGTCCCAGCCCGAGAACTTCCTGCCAATCTGCGGAACCAGCAGGAGCAAACGTCCATTTCTCGAGGTGCTCGGGGACCCCGCAAGCAGGGGGCGGGTGCGGCCTGCCGGCGGGAAGGGGGCTGTCCCCTGACTCCAGTTCTTGAAGCGGGCGAGAAATTCAAGGGGGGTTCTGTGATCGGACACAGGTCAGACAGCAACAATCAGAACCACACTTAGCTCTTCTTCCCCTCCTCTGGTCTGTGAACCCCCAACCTTAGGGACAGGCCTACATTTTCAGGCTTCTCAGGTGCCAGTTAAAGCCCCAGGCCAGGCGTGTCTTCTTCTGTCCGAGCACCTCAGCAGGAAATACACACAGCGCCAGGAGGGGGGCTCGGGGCACCCCGGCCTTACCTTGAAACAGCATCGTCTGGCTGAAGTCACTGCGCATATCATTCTGACACACGGCTTGGACGCGGAACAGGTAAAGGCTATCAGGTGAGACGTGGCTAATGGTGGCTTTCTGCAGGTGGAGAGAGAAGAGCAGTGAGCAGCTGGAAGCCAGCACACACCCCCCCCAAGCCAAGCCCAGAGTAACCACTTCCGGGCTGGTGGTGCCAGGGACAGCCTGACAGACACGGTGCTCTCGTGGACCACAGGCTCACTCTGGAAGGGAACGATCCGAGATAACCTTGCCCGGAATCTGCTTTGAACACTGAAATGGGCAGGATAGCAGGCAACAGAATCAGTCTGGACTCATTCTTGACTGAGGCTTGGACCATGTCTTCAGCTGTCTCAGCCTTGGACTGGTCTCATCACGACTACACCGTGTAGGCTGGAGTTATTTATTGCAGGCGGCTTCTGGGATTGTCAGATGCACTGAATTTCCAGAGCCATGGAGAGTTTAAAACATCAGCAACGAGATCTCTGCATGTCTGTTTCTCTGCAGTTTAAAGGCCTGGTGGTGCCCTGACCGTGGGCAATAGGGGGCGTGATGCTGGGAAGGACACCTGGCTCGCAGTCACCTGAGGTGCGATGTAGCCTTTTCACCCACTCAAGAGCTGTGGCCCTGAGCCAGGTGCTCCATGTCTAGGGCCTCTGCTGCCTTCCTGTTAAAATGGGGAGAGAAACAGCTACTTCCCAGGGTCCTTGTGAACAGGCCAGGCAAACCTGCTCGTACGTACCCACACCACGCAACAGAAAGAAGGGCCCTGGTCTAACACAGGGCCGGCAAGCTCCAGCTCACAGGCCAAATCCAGTCCCCCGTTTGTTTTTATAAATAAAGTTTTATTGGCACATAACAAGTAAAGGAATGGGCGTGGCTCTCAGGCAGCTTTCACCCTGCAGTGTCAGAGTTGAGTTGTCCCCACAGCGACCTATGTCCCATAAACCCTAAAACCTTTACTATCTGGCCCTTTCTAGAAAAAGTGTGTCCATCCCTAGTCATTAGACACCTGCCAAACCCAGGCCCCATTCCTCGAAGCTTCCTTCCAAGAGTCTTTAAAACCGAGAAAAGAAAAAGTACCTAAAAAGCAGACAGCACTCGCTTTGTGAAGAAACAAACAACAAAAGCAACTGATTTCAAAGACTTCGCTGGGGGATAAATGTCTTGTCACTGAAACGTGTCTTCTGGGCCAAGTATCAAAGGCAGCCTTGGGAGCTTCACTGCTGAGTGGGTTTTTCCTGCGGCAGCTACTGAAAACCTCTGCCGGGGTATTAAAATGTTACTGTGGCCCCACCCGCTGCCCTTGCCTGGAAAAGGCTTCCCGGTGAGAGCTATAGGTCGGCGTCGCGATTTAACGTTAAGCCTCGTTTCTCTCTTTCGGAGAAGGTAGTAGTTACGTCTGCCCCCAGGCTGCAGCGAGGATGCGGACAGACTTGTCCGCTGGCAAAGGCCGCGCCAGTGTTCAACACGACTCTTAGGGTTCTGGGCCACCGTCGCCATCGATTTGAGGACAGTTATGTTGCCACTAAGTCAGCACACTTGACTTCCTGAGGAATTAGGAAAATTAATTTTGTGTCTCCCAAAAGAAACTAACCAACCACCCCTAGAAATTCCTACAGAAAAGAACTTGCTGTCCAAGCATGTTTTTCTCTGCATTACTCTCTTTCTCTGAAACTAATTTATGCCTCATTCACTAAACCTCTGACCCTGTCTTCTGTTCAGAGTGAAATCTCCGCTCCATCTACGCGGGGATTTATTAGAATTCACTCCAAGCCAGTATCTATTCATCTTTGCATGTTTAATTATTTTTCACTTAGAACAAGACACCGCCTAAGCGCCCACATGGTTTCTGCTGATGAATGCAGCCATCTTTCCTTCAGAAAGAAAAGACCCCCTGTGCGCCTCGGCAGCGACAAGAGGGAGGTTACAACACCGCTCAACCCTGGGTAACTTTCAGCAGCTTCCTCCTGATTTCATGAAGCTCCTCAGTCCCTAATGTGACCCAGATAACAATGTCTAGTGGGGAAATGGAAACGATAAATGAAAATGAAGGGAAAGAATCTTCATCTGAAGGAATACAGAAAGTATTATTGCGTAACTGACGGAACAGGCCCTGGCGACTCTGCCCTGGGGGGGAAACAATGAAAACCACCGTAAGAACCCCACTCTGTGCGACTATTTCACATGAGCACGCACAGGGATGGAGTTCGTTATTCCAGCGTCTGCCCCGACTCAGGAAAAGCACAAGCTCTCAAACCTGACTTAGTCACTTTGAGTTTCTACACGAAGATGTGAAGACTGATGCTCACAGGAGGGTTTGCTTTCACAGGGGAAGGAGGTGCTTCCACAAACACCTCTTCCAAGGGCTTTGCTGGATGTTGGCCACTAAACACGGATGCGCGTTTTAGGGAGAGATGTGGGCTTGGGCATGAAGAGGTCACAGCGAGGTCAGGTGTCACCGTGTCTGAGAGCCTGAGCGGGGTCGGATTATGTGGCCAGAGGCTCCAGCAGGTAGGAGAGTGGAGCGGAGGGGACGTGAACGGGAGGGGGAGCCCAGCTGCCCAGGGCGGTGTCAGCAGCGGTGACAGGAGCAGCTGCAGTGACAGTACTTACACGGTGCTCACCAGGTGCCAGACCCTCTGCTGCACACTCGTGCAGTCTTTAATGTTTATAATAACCCGACCAGATGAAAAGGGCTTAACAGAAGCATTCTGTTTCTATATTAAGGAAAGACAACGAAGTCAGTTTGAAAGGGCCCGATTATAAATAAATTAGCTAGCTTTTCCGGGTGGCCCAGGCGCTAAGTGTGAGGGCGGAGGGGGCCCAGGCAGGCTCGGCCCCAGTCCACACCCAGAGCCACTGCACTGTGGCAGAGCTGTGGCAGCATGATGCTGGGGGGACACAGAGAGCCCACCTGCAGTGCCTGGCAAAGAGATGTGGCCGGGGCCCCTCTCCTAACTGCAAGGGAAGCAGGCACCCCGACGTTTACCAATTCTTTGTCGCTGTCCTTTGTAAACGTCTTCTCCTTCTCGTCTTCGTTCTTGGTCCAGCTGTAGGAGATCACGTAGTTCATGATGGGCGGGTGGTAGATGGTCTCCGGCTGGCTCCAGGACACCTGCAGTGCCGTCTGGTTCAGAGGCTGCACCTTCATGTGGACAGGTGGGGAGCTGCAGACTGGAGACACACACCACAAGCTCAGCGGGCTCCCGGCACAACATACCACTGGTCTGCCCTGTTCTCACAGCTCAACCTCGAAAACCCGACAGAGCAGCGCACAGAACTGCCGTGCCCCCCTCACCTAAAGCTTCCCGGCAACACCTCTCCTCCCCCTCTCTTCCTACACACAGTCACACACACCACTGTTTTCCTGCGAAACCACCGTAAGCAAGTTGCAGACATCCTGGCACTTCACTCGGCATCCCCGAAGAATAAGGACATTCTCCCATATGACTTCAAGGGGCTGGATGTTTTGTCCCCCCAAATGTCATGGTATTTGGAGGTGGGGCCTTTGGGAGCTACTAGGCCACGAGGGTGAAACCCTCATGAATGGGATTAGTGTCCTTATCAAAGGGACCCCGAGAGCTCCGTGCCCTTTGCGGCGAGAGGACACAGTGAGGATGCAGCACCGTGAACCAGCAGGTGGGCTCTCTCCAGGCAGGGCCCCCGCCAGGGCCTTATCCTGGACTCACAGCCTCCAGGCCTGAGAGACACAAATCCCTGCTGTTATCAGCCACCTGGTCTGCGGTGGTCTGTTACTGCAGCCTGAGCTAAGATAATGACCCTGAGCTAAGATAACGACCCTGCCCCAGAAAATGAACATCAATTCAGGAACACTATCCGATGCACAGTCCATATTCCTATTTCCCCAACTGGCTCCGAAAGACTGCGTATAGCCAGTGCTCCCCTATCACAGCTGTATTTCATTATTATAAGGTTGTAGCCCCTTTTAAAAAAAATTGTTATGTAATTTATACATTTTATCCTCACCTGAGGATATTTTCACTGATGGTTTTTTTTAGAGAGAGAAAGAAACAGGTTGGTTGCCTCCTCAATGCGCCCTGACCAGGAGGTTTGTGGACCAAACCCACGACCTAGGTATATGCCTTGACCCAGAATCAAACCCATGGCCTTCCCGTGTACAGGACGACGCTCCAACCAATTGAGCCACACTGGCCAGGCAGCCTTAGCCTCCTGTAATCGAGCACAGTGGCGTTTTTTCCTTGATGCCTTTTTTTTAGAAGCCAGGCCATTTGACCTGTGGGTTATCTCAACAAACTAAAATTGTAGATCCGATTTTATTGTAAGTAGATCAGAGTAAATCTATTAAAAATAAGATGTTAAAAAAGTTTAAAGCAAAGGCACACACACACAAGAGGGATGGCTTTCTCAGGCCAGCAGGACCTCATGCAATAATTCCCTGATGGGGAGCATAAGGAAAAGTCGGGCTTTTTTATTCCTTGTGCCCAGAATGGTTGAAGGGACATGCTTGTTCTATATCTATCTATGAAAGGGCTAAGAATATCAAATCAGCCTTTAATAGTGACATTTTAGCCCTGGCTGGTTTGGTTCAGCGGTTAGATCATCGGCCCGCGGACTGAAGGGTCAAAGGATGGAATCCAGGGTCAAGGGCATGTATCTGGGTTGGGGTCATGCGGAGGCAACCCATCGACGTGTCTCTCTCACATCAATGTTTCTCTCTTTCTTTCTCTCTCTTTTCTCTCCCTTCCTCCCACTCTTTTAAAAGATCAGTGGAAAAATATGCTCGGGTGAGGATTAACAACAACAAAGGACGTTTTAGCTCCAGATGTGTTCTTTCCCAGTGACTGGGGTTCCTGCCTCCACTGGGCTCAGAGTCTGGGGCGAGGTTTCTCAACCTCGCTACTACTGACTGCTTCCTCTCGGGGGGCTGAGGGTGGTTAGCAGCATCCCAAGCTTTCACCCTCTTGGCCGAGAGCCAAGGAGACTAACTGGGTGGGGGTCAGGGGAAGAGAGGAGGGCCAGACACAGAGAAAGGTGTAGCTGAGTGGGAGGCCACGGAGGCCCAGCTGCAAATTCTGGCCTTGGTCCTAAGAGCACTCAGAAGCCACTAGGAGATCTGAAGAGAGACTGGCACAAGCAGGTTTGCACTTCACAGAGGTCCCTGGAGCCTAGGCTGAGCACTGAACCTGGAGGGACCAGGAGTGAAGGAGGGAGGCCTGGAGGAGGTGCTGCAGGTAGCGGGCCGCTGGGAGCAGGGAGGAAGGAGGAAAGAACAGGAGGTTCCACAGTGAATGGGCAGAGCAGGAGACACTCGGGCTCTGAGTGAGGACGTGAGCCTCGCTGGACGAGGTGGGCCAGGGGACCATGGTGTGGTGACTCTCAGGAGCCCACACGGCCAGCTGTCCTGGGGGGCAGGACGCGTCCCTGCCTGAAGCACGGCCCTGCCTTCAGGAGCTGCTGGAGGAGAGGAGACTGGTTCTGACAGGGAGTCATCCTTTCGCTCATCAACTGCCAAATCACGCTGCAGCCGGAGAGGTCTGCTGTGTGTGTCTGGGACGGAGGGAGGGACACATTAATGAGGCAGTCCCACTGCCCCAGAGAACCCCGGAGGCATGGCGCTGGCCGCCACACAAACACCATCAGAGCAGGGACATCAAACAAAGGGTCAGAATGGAGGCTTCCGCGGAGACGAGGGGTGAAATGACAGAGTGGACACTAGGTGGCACTAATACACCGTTTAAAATACCCCAAACTTCCAGTTTCTCAAGACGGCATAGAGTAGGGGGAAGTCCGGAAAAGACCCGCACCCCCTCTTTCCAAATGACAGTAATGAACCAAGATTTATATAGTGGAAGCTCCTGTCCCGCCCACAGATGACTATGTCAGACTTCCTGACTTCTACATCTTCCTCACCTCCTGCATATTCTTATTTATCCCCTTATTCTGAGAACCTCACTGTTCCAGTTAGTGGTGAGCTGCGCAGGGATGTGTGTATCGCTAATGGTTACATCAGCACCACATAAATAATTCTATGATCCACACGCAGATGCAACCATTTTTATTTACTCTGAAATTAAAATAGCTGGGTTTCCTTTGCTGATTAAGATGATTCATGTTAATGTTGTTTTTTTAAAGGAAACCCAAGTAGTACCAAAAAAAGTAAGAAGAACGTCTTTAATATATCACCCCAAATTCCAGCACCCAGATACCTCTTCCTACTTGTGGGAGAGCACAGACACGACCAGCCTGGCTGCACTGTTAGTGCTGCTGTGTCTCGCTCGGTGTCATGGGAATAGTTCTTGTCCATGCGTAGAGCTGGGTATCCTGTTTTGAAGGAAAGGACAGAACTCCACTGTCTCAACGTACCAGAAAGTACTGAGTTGAGCTCACCAAGGAGACAGGTCTGGTCTCCTTCTAACAAGACCACCTACCAGGACAGGAAATCAGGGCCCCTGGGCCTCCACAGCACAGAGCCGCTGGCCAGGTCTGCAGGCTGCGGAGCCGCATCCAGGGCTGGGACCAGCACGGGACCAGGCACTTTGGCCATCCCCTCACCCCCAGCTCCCCGAGAGGGAGCTGCCTGGCCAGACGCGGAGGCATCTGTAGATACCAGGCCTCGGGGCAGGCTCGACTAAGTTTTTCTGTGAAGGGCTACGTGGTAAATATGTCCCGTTTTGCGGGTGTACAGTCTCTGTCACTAGAGCGCACCGCAGCGCAGGCGCCGTGGCGGCGAAGGGGTGTGGCTGCGCGCCTGTCAAGCTGGATGAGTGGACACTGCGCGTTGACTCACATGCTAGTCATGTGCTACGTGTTCCACTGCTTCTCACTGTTTCAACTGTTTGAAACGTGGAACGCATTCCAGGCTCATGGATATACAAACAGTGCTGATGGGGTGAGCCTGGGCTTGCTGATCCCAGGCCTGGAAGATGGGGGGCCCACTCCTTTATTTGTGTCTTCAGCACAGCTTGGGCCCCCCTGCACACGGCGCAGATCCTTCCGCGGGGTGAGCGTGAACGGCATTACTGACCACTGAACTCACTCCCCCACTAGAAACGTGAGCTGCCGCCTCCTCTGTTGTTTGCTACAGTCTGGGAGGCTGGAACAGGACTGGCGGAGTGGGCTCTCGGTAAGTACTGGCTCCATGCAGGGGTGCTGCTGACAAACACACCCTTTTCCCCGGGTCTGCAGGTCGTACAGGACGTGACCTCTCCACGTCTGCAATTTCACAGCTCCCCACTCTCCTTTTGACGCGTCCCACAGCCCACGCCAGGCCACGGGACAATCCGGCTTCAAAGTCACGCTTCCGCTCGGAGGTCTCCTCCGGGCCTCTCCTCAAACTGCCCATCACACTGTCCTCACTGCCTGTCCGTGGTCCTTCCCCGGACTGAGCTGAGCATCCCGCGGGAGCACAGGCCTTTCACTGGGCCTGCACAGGGCCTCAGGGTTCCCGGGCGAGAGAAGGCCTTTTGCTCTTCAGCTAGGACCACTGATGAAGTTCCACCTATTAAATCGGTCCCACACAATCCACTCCTGGGCTCCCCCTTAAGGAGCCTCAAGTCATGGGAGGAGCCTGTCCCATGTCCAAGGAGGAGCTTGACCTCGCACGGTCACCAAGGGGACGTCTGCTGACCAGAAAAAACACTGGTCTACAGAGGTGACAAAACCCAGCTTTGCTCGGTGGCTGGTGGAGGGGCGATGACCGGATGTCCCTCAAAGACCTGAAACTAAGCAGGCAGCCCACCAGCAGGCCCTGTGCGGGCAACTTCTTGCCTTTTCAGTGACGGAAACCCTTCCTTCAAATAAAACCTCCTTCAAAATTCCACTCAACACAGAAAAAAGCGTGGAACTGTTTGGAAAAGCTGGTACAGCCTGTGTGGGCTTTACAGCCAGACCCACACAGACCCCTCGTGCCATTCCCTGTGCCAGGGTGGCTAGTCCCCAGCACCTCTCCTCACAGGATCGGGGAGAGAATGACAGAGGAGGGGCCTGAGCTGATGGCACACACAGGGACAGGCTGCCGCGTCCACGCGCTGTTTTACAAATGGGCATATTTTACACATAAAGCTCGGCTTTTACACCGGGCTGCGTCCACGTGGCAGGGGGTACCTGGAGGGGCAGAGCCGTTTCAGACTCAGGGTGGATGCTCACAGTCGCCTTGGTCCCGCCACCCACTCTGCCTGCCTGCGCCACGGCCA